TAAATATATATATATATATATATATATTTATATATATATATATATAAATAATTATCCAAATACTAAATAATTTTCCAAAATTCTAAATCATTTGAATAGCTTATAAAAAAAAATATGAAATCAACGACTTGAGATTTGGCTGAGGTTATATGTTAACTATTCAAACCTTTATAATATTTTGTACTATTCCTATTATTATATAAATGAAACCCAACAAATATGAGTTTGATGCCTTTGACAAAGCTTGCCTATGTCATATCAACTAACCATCCTGGCCGCATAGTAAGTGTGTGCTTGCAATAAGAGACGAAGACATAATGAAATGGCTACCAATACACATATCGCAAAGATGGCATTTTTTTACATTTCTTGTTTTTACTCTATGGCGTCACTATCATTAGAAATCATTTCATCTTGCAGCATGCCTCTCAACATTTCAAATGGACAAAGTGGGACATTTTAATTTTAGGGGTACAATTGGGGGTGTGGCGGGGGGGTACTGTTCGGAGAAATTGTAGGTAAGGATCAAAAGGAGATGGAGGGAGTAACCTTAGCTAATAAGTAATCAGAAATATTAAATATTAAATGTTTAATAGATAATTTTAAAAGTCCAAATAGGACAAAGAACAAAAGACAACTCTCTATAGACAGACTATGTATGAAAAATAAACATAAAAAAAGACACATACAAATAAATGAAAAAATATATATATAGATGAATGGCTAAAATCAGCCCAAAATATATATATAATATGTCTATGTCAAAAGTATAGTATTCATGTCTGTTAGGATATACAGGCTATTACTTAGACATGCTAATGTGGTAATAGGAACCTAATAATGAATGGGGGGAAAATATCCACCCTCTAGGTTGTTCAATGTCATAGTGATATTATACTAGGGGTAATGCATTTAGTAATGCTGGCGACTACACCGACAAGTATGGGCAAAGGATAAATGTAATTAGAATTCTGCTGCTGAATAGCTCGGTCGTGTGTAGACTAATATGGCAGAGTGCCCAGATATTATGCTAAGGATATTGTCCTAATTGGTACTGGCGACAAAGCGGAAGGGTATGAAGAGAGGCTGATTGCTGCTCGGATCGTTCCACTAGATGGCTTTGTAGAATGTTAACTATTGCAGCAAGATTAACATTGGCAACTATATAACTGTATTCGCTGAAAAAGTAGCTAATATACAATATATACAATTTGCTACTAACCGTTGAGGAGCCCAGGTTTGTAAGTTGGACAGTAGTGAACCTAGTAGTTCTATTAGGTGTAGTATGCTGCAATACTACATTAATATGATGGGGGTAAGTACCCAGGAAGGATAAACAGAGTATTGATTCACACGAGGTACAAGTTGGAGATACACTCTCTCACCTTATTGTGCCTTCGAGGGCACCCCTTAACACACCAACCAAAAGCTCACCCTATCTTAGTGAAAAGCAGACAACCCCATCCCCATGTGCATTAGGTCTCCCCTGCCAGCTGACGTTGGCAGGGGAGGAGGGTGGGCAGAGCCTAACCCAGCGTCAAGGGTCATCGGCGCTGGATTCAGGTAAGTCACTGAAGGGGTTTTAACCCCTTCAGCAACATGGGATGGACCTGCAGTGCCAGGCAAACGGATATGTTTTCCTGGCAATGGAGAGTCCCTTTAACCGCTATTTTCATCTTTCTCATTTAATGCATAATAAATATTATATACCGTTTTTTAAAGGTAAAAAATTACTTTAAGTTGATTTGACATATACATATATAAATCCCCATTTGTTCACTACGACAGTACAATAGAAAAAAGGGATAGCGACTGTTCCTCCTCAATAGGGACATTTTGGAGGTCCACACAAGCAGCCAATATAGATTTTGTACACTAGTGACACATTTTTATTAGATGATATCTTGATATCTTGCTATTGTATATTTGTTGTCATCCACTTGCATAAAAAAGGACAATCAACTATGATACCTTCTAGAATGCTGATTGCCTCAGTGCATGCATTAATTCAGGTGCTCTATCAGTAGAGACAAGAAACTTCTGTTTCTTTTACAACTTATACTACTTCTCATGCGACACCCTAGGAATTGTGTCCATTGTCAACCTCCTTTGACAGACAGCAGTGGAGGAAGTAACAGGTATCAAGATCATGAACATAGGTCCAGTATATTTTCATGGCACTATTTTCCCCTTTACTGTCCAAGGAAGTGCATGAAATAACCAACTGTGTTTCAGGTTGTAGTGATTTAAAATAAAATATTTCCTCATGCAAAATGATAGAATACCTGGTATGAACAATGTATATTTATATATCATTATATTATAATAATATGTAAATATATACAGAATGCACTAAATATGAAAGAAGTGTTAAGTATCATGTAAGATACTAAATAGATTTGCATTATTCAATGTAAACTCCATCGTTTTGCCCATCTAACATTATAAATAAGGAATATTCGGTGGTTTGACACCTGTTGTTTTGAATAATTCTGATTCTCCAAAGCCAGCAATAAGCTTCACCAGGGTTCTAGTGCATCAATCTTCTCACCTACCCCTGATGCAGAAAATAAACTTAAAAATCACAGTACATCAAGATGCACGGATATGGATTCTCTAGAAAGCCTGCAGTGTTAAAATGTTGCAGTTAATGTGAGAAAATATTTTCACAGCTATGTCACTCTACGGGGCTGAGTTATCAAGGCCTAATGAGCTCATCGCTCACTTGGCTATGTCCCACGAAAAAGAAAAACAGAAATTCTTTCACAAAATAAAACGTCATAATTAGACAGGGGAAGTATCAACCAGCCTTAGTCAAGGTCATTTTCTTTTGGTTCCGCTATTTTTGCCTTAATTTTGCAAACAGAATTTTCAGTTCCCCGCAATTCACACTTTAGTGAATAAACTCCCCCAATGTCTATTTTAACATTTTGATTGAAGACATGTGACAATATAAATATCATGTTTACATCCTCACGTCTACTATTAATAGTCCAGTGAAACAGACATATTCTAGATGGGAATAACATGCTCTGTCTTGCATGAAGTGTTTAAGACTCCACTATCAAGATTAACACAGGCATTAAAGAAGTGATTAGCATCGAGCTGACAAGTGGAGCTAACATTTTGTATTTGATATACTGTCTCCATTTAATGTAATTGTTTCTAATAACTATATTGCTGTAGATTAGGATCTTTACATAGAAACAGTTAAAACAAATTCTTGATGTACTGTAAAACACCAATAGACCAATTTATATCAAGCAAAAAAAAAAAGAAGATGTTCCAGAAAAATGTAATAATGTTATGCATCAGGAAGATATAATGAACATACCTATATTGTAATATTCACAATGTACATTTCTTAATGCAAAGCTAAAGAGCCCCTATGCTATACTATATAGTAGACTATATACTATACCTGATTTAATATTGTTGGATAAGCTTTCCAAATGTTTTAGTATTTTTGGATACACTTTTGAAATGTTTTTATCAACATTAAAATATCACAATATAATATCATATCGCCCCATCAATAGGAGCCAATCGCGTATTGTGCTGCACAGGAATATGACATGATTCATATACCAGCTCCTTCCACTCGGCCTGCGGCATGCACCAGAGTTAGAGGCTGGGCTGCATGGAGGTACTGGTGCTCGGCCATGCTACAAGAAGTGACCAGCAGTGCGCATCTCTCCTGTATGTCACCGGGATATTACCCCTTATGATAGCGCTCATCCTTCTTCAGCCATTTGAAAGATTTGGTATAATGCAAGGGTGTTCTGCCCCATAACTACAAGTATCCAAAGGATTTAAATTATTAAAAGTGTTATTTATTCATCAAACTGCCTCCAACACCTGGAATACTACATAAGGGAACGTCCTGTAGAACTGCACTTCAAACTGAGGTTAACAACAGCTGGCTCATTATTTCCATAACTAGGGGATTTTGTCTTACCTATTTGGATTTTGTATAGATCATCCCATCATGCCTACATTTTTACAACATAATGTCGCTTGGCATAATGAGAAAGCCTTATAAAATGGCAACTCTGGAGTGATTGATAGCTTAAATGCAATATCGTAAAATTAGTAAAATGTATTCCTGATTTTTGTCTTACATGGGGAAAATTGCTAATTGTGTTAAAGAAAAAAAAAAACTTTCACATTTTAACCTTCTGACTCACATATGATTTATTTATGCAGTATGTGAACAGAAATATAGAGCTTCCAACTGCTCAACACTGAATTCATGCTTCACAGTGAAGAGTTAATAAAATAACTAGCTTAATTTCTGCCTCTTGTCTGTTCCAGCCAGAGTACTGCAGTGTAGCAATTCTATTAATATCTCTCTACGATATATCCCTAAGGCAAAGTGTATGAAAAACTCTTGTGATGTTGCTTGGCTGTGCTCTTTGTATTCTGCTCATTTTCCCTCCCTGTGGGGTGACTGACATGGACTCTTTTACACGAGCACATTTGCCAACCATATTATACGTGTTTATGTATCATTTTGTAGGACAATCTAGTAACCTCTTATTTAGTGACCTTGATTCTCTGTGATGCAGTATTAATTAGAACTTCTTTCAATTACATTTTAATCAGTTGAAAGAACAGTGAAGCACAATCCCCATCCCCTTCACTGGAATCAGTGAATAAAATCACGTTTCTCTATCTTTATAGCTTGACTTGAACATCTTTGCCCACAGAAATGCAGCTACAGTAGTTACTAAGTATGCCCTGTGTCATAGTCTGATCAGTCAGCGGATAAGCAGTCTTAAAGGGATGATATTCCAGACATGTAAAGTATTTTAGCTTACTGAAAAATTTTATGTGCAAAGTGTGTCCTATGTATTTTTATTTTGGAAAAAGTGCAGATTTCAATAGAAATCAACATTTATATAAATTAACGTGGCTACACCCCCTGGCTTTTCAAGCAAATAACAGGCCTCTTTACTTCCTGGTTTGGTTAGCTCAGTGAAGCTAAACTCAAGAGGCAGCAATTGCTCAGAGCACTTGCATTGCAAAGAAGAAGTCTTTGCAATGCAAGTGCTCTGAGCAATTGCTGCCTCTTGAATTTAGCTTCACTGAGCTAACCAAACCAGGAAGTAAAGAGGCCTGTTATTGAGCTGCATTGGGAAGTCTGTGATTGGACAGCCAAACAAAGTTTGGGCGGGGTTAGAAGGGGATGGCTTGCAAAGACAGAAAAAATGCATAATTTCACGCATGCATGTTTTCATTGAAGGTATATTTACTAAACACATTTAATTTTGTATTTGGGAAGTGGAATGTCTGTTTAATACACACAAACATGTACATACCAGTTGCCTGCATTCACACTGTAGTCACAGTAATAGCCAAATTCCTTATCACTTACACTGTCAACTGTTTTTTTTCCCTACACTGTAGGCACCCAGACCACTGCAGCTCACTGAAGTGGACTGGATACTGTGTCCTTTTTGCACTTAGTGCTGGAATGTAAAACATTGCAGGTCCAGAGAACTGCAATGTTTACATTGCAGCTCTAAGTTTGCCCTCGGTTACGGTCTACCAGACAGCCACTAGAGGGCTTCTGGAATAAAAACGGAACTTTGGTCCATTATCTGACACTGGACTTCCTCACACTCTGCATGAGGACCTCCAGCGTCAGATTTTTCCCCATAGGAATGCATTGATGAATTCTTTCCTATGGAGAAATCCTAATGCGAGCGTGGCCATTGGTGAGCATGCGCATTAGGTCTCCCGCGCCTGCTGACGTCGGCGGGGGAGAAGAGTGGGCGGAGCCTGACCCAGCACTAAGGAAGAGAGGCTTCTTAAAGCGCATAAGCTGGTCGCTTTCAGCCAGTGGGCTTTCTGCTGTGAGGAGGCAATTAGTGGTGCTCAGCAGACCCGAGGATATCAAAGACATCAAATGGTGACATCCTGACGAAAGTTCTATCAGAGAACTGAAACGTTGATCCACTTTGGCAGACACTGAATAAAAGCTTAGTTATTTTCACCACATTTCTAAGTCCCTGGAGTGCTCTCTTTATATAGTAACTGTTATAATTTTGCTGATAAGCACCGGGCATTTTCAACTAAATACTGGAGTGCAAGCATTGGAACTATTTTATACATTATAAGTATTTATTCAGTTGTGTGTATATTTTTTTGTTGCTATATAACTATGGGTACACTGATGCCAGAACACTTACAAGCTGATCTGCATATATATCTGAGTCAGTCACATTTGTAACATTAGAGAATGTTATTGTAATTAAAAGGAGTGGAATACATATGCCAAACACATTTTGTATCTATCTGATCAATATATCAGCCTTTTATCCTAAAAAAGATTATGCATGAGAATATGTAAGCTATACTCATTTGGCAGCTTTTCAAAATATCTTTGCTATGTACCAAACCAAACAAATAGTGCACCTGTCTGAAGCATCTGTTAAAATCTTATTTTTAGCCCTTCATAAAATAAATAAATTATTGGCAATAGAGCACCGTTATCATCTAATGAAATAAGATTAGACATTTCTGTAGAAAAAAAAAAACAACCAATATGATATTCAAATGTATTTGTAAACCATTACAAATTTTTGGTATTATTGTAAAGATCAGGATAGAGAGGGGACTAATAGGTTAGTGTTGAACACAGTGCACAATGAACCATAAAATAAAATTTACTTTTAATGGGACCTGTAGCAAATCAATTCATTTAAATCTTTATCCTTCTGTAACAGTATTTGTAACCGATTTTACTAAATTAGATTACATATCATGTCATCATTCGCTTACAAGGACACTATGCGACATTTAGGCCAGGAAACCATTTAGTGAGAGATGAACATTTTGTTTCAAATACGCACTTAGAAGAAAATGTTTCACAAGATCTCTGAGACAATGGTTGGACATGTTCAAGAATGAAACTTTCAATGTAAAACAATATAAGAAAAAAGAATTTTAAGAAATAATATATATAAATGACTGGGATTTTTGGCTACATGTGTTACCAATGAACATAGAGTAAAACAACAGGAAATATTCAAGAAAATTATTGTTAATATTTTTTAAGTTCATCATCAGGACACATTTCAGACTTACAATATTAAGGAACTAGATTGATTGTGCAATGCGCCTATGTAATGCAAAACCTACATTAGCCATGGAGCTATGTAGGGCCATCCTATCAGAAATGACATAAAAAATGACCCAGATCAGAGAACGGTGTCAAAGCTCTAGATCCAATTTATGGCGTAACATTCGGATAGGATTTCAGTCAATCTACTCGTAATCTAGACTCTACTCAGGTCAGTGTGGTTCATTCCGCCTCTAAAAACACTAGTGACAGACCAACCCAATTCTGCTCTAATTACCTCAGATGTATAGATTCTAAAAACAGTACATTATTATCTGACGGAGATTAGGGTTTGTGCAGGTGACTGCATTGGATTTAAACCTATGTTTCCCAGTTTTAATGCAGTGACATTATAACTCCTCTAACCAACAGATACAGCACATGGGATTTTATATGATCCTTATACAGAAATTTGTGAACGAACATATAAGAAAACAGCAATATTCTCGTGGCCCAAACAGATAAATAAAAATGATCAAATACCCTTCTTATAAGTATTTGTAGGGGACCCTAAGGGGCATTACTAGCAGCACAGCTTTCTAAAAAGATCAAAAGAATGTAAAAAGAATATCTACATTTCAACATAATGCTCACATATACTAAATAAAGTTAATCATATATTTCTAAAACTAAAAAAGTATTTGAAAAGTGTATTACCAATGTACCCCGATCTCTGTAACGATGATAAAACTATAATAGATTTCATCCATGCCTTCCCCCAAGTGTATAAATGGTACGATCTTTTAAGCTTCCTTTACTATTTGGTAAGAGGGAGTGGGAAGTCATTTTCAGCCAATTAGTGGACATTAAATGGGTGGCATGATTTCCTGGACAGGAAATTCACTACTCTACAAGCTGACAATCATTCCTGGAGTATAAATAAGGATAAATGAGACTACGGGATACACAATTTGGTAATAAGGGGGTTAGAGACAAACACACAAAGGAACTCAACTACAACATTATATAACTTGATCATGTAATTATGTATCAGTAACGTTAAAAAAATATATATTTTGTAATTACGAATTAATTTCAAACAATCCCTATTGTTCTCAGTAATTTCCCTTCAAATACACATTTTTTTAAAACAAACAAAGCAATAGACCAAACTAAAATAATAAAAATTTAGATATTTTTTCTTAACACTCTGGATAAAACTGTAGCCATTATACATAGCTATGGAAATGACAACTAATGGAGACAACGATACATGCAACAAATGATACACAAATGGTGACACTATGTGCTGAGTCTATAATAGTTTGAAAGGGGTCTATTCACACAATAACAGTATTTGGTGACTTGAAATCCAGCTGGCAGAATTTAAGACATAATAGCAAAGATTGAAATAAAACCCTTCAATTCCATATAGTTGGAGATTTTATCAAACTTTTTTATGTTATCCTAATATGTGCAATTTGCTTTTTAATGATTTGGCCATTATATGTCCGAATTATGGCATTTATTTACTAAAATAAACAAACTTGTACTACATTTCAAACCAAAAGGCTAATTTTAGTTAAAAAAAAATAAAAAAAAACTCCAACTCAACTACAGTCATAGCTTGACTGTTTTTGTATAAATTCTGTAATTCAGTTTGCAATTCACTACAATTTTGTGTATAGTGAATGAACCTCTTGATTGTGCAAATCCCATTAGCCCCAAATAATACATTTGCTAAACACTTCTGCAAACCATTATTTGTTTGTTGGTTTGCTCGTTGGTTTCTTTTTTTTTTTACTTATGAGTGCAGTTAATCATATAGTATTTATTTCATTTTATCATATTAACTGTTCTGATGTCCTGGCTCTATAACATACAATACAAAGTTTCAAAACAAAATTGGTGACTAATTTTACAATGCTAATATGTATAAGAGACACGATAAAATAAAAGACAAAAATACAATCAAATTCGTTCACTTCTTCCTTTCCAATGATCTCTGAGTTTCCAAAAAGCAGAGGCAGTTCAATTTGTGTTTTATTCTAGAAATTACATGAACTGACATTTTATCTCCAGTTTCAAGAGGCCGTAACCTTTAACATAACATTGGGCGAATCAACACAATGACAGCAAGAGCAGCATATCAGACAACTAACAAAAAACAAGCAATGTAATCACTAAACCAGATAGAGCGATGTTTGCCACCTTGTTTGTTTGTGAATTGCATTTCCCATGAAGATGATCAGCCAGCCCTATCTTCTGGATGAGCATAGTGGGTAAATGGATTTAATAAAAAAATCTGGTTACAGATCATTTTGGTGAACTGATTTACAAACAATGTTAAATCAAAATCAGCATAGTTAGGTTTATTCAACTGTACTAGTTTAGTTTAAAGGACAGCTAAAGGGACCCAAACCACTTCATCTCAATGAAGAGGTCTGGATGCAGTGGTCCTGACGGCTTAACTGTTCAATGTAAAACATTGGTGATTTGTAGAAACGGTAATGTTGACATTAAGGAGTAAAATATACGTCTAGTTGCTGTTTTCCCACGTCAAACTTGGTCCTTCAATCAAATTCTTTTTACAGTGTTTTGCTGTGCTTGTGTATCTCATCCCCAATGCTTCTTTATGGAAAGCATTGAATTGAACAAGAACGCAGAAGAGTCAACAGGCATGCTGATTAAGATGGAGGCAGAGCGGGTGGCTGCAAGTGAGGTGTCTCAATGCGAGGTATGAGGTAAGTAATAGCCTTTAAACCACCGGAGAGGTATCACAACAGCAGAAGGGAACTTATATTTCCCCTCCAAAATATTCTTATTCTCAGGACTATTGGTCTCCTTTGAATGTAGTCAATTGTATTTTCCATTCACACAGCTCACTGACACTTTTATATTTGGTTTATCAGAAAATTAAACATTCAACTTACACTGGGGACGAAGACAACTGATCCCCGTTTTTGATCTGTTGATTCTTTATCGAAGCCAGTTTCCAC